GGTTGATGTTATCATGGATCTTTCTTGCCTTATTTCTAACTATACACCAGTATGGCTTCCAGTCAGCAAGGCATTTAGTTGGAATATTTATTTAGGATTTAATCTCCTGGGCTACCGTCCAGTCTTGGGATGGAGTTTGGCCAACTCTGCACTGGTGGTCAGGCTTACAATGGGCTTCTTAAAACCCAATGACCATAGTTCCGGGTTCATAACTACCCTGCCAGAACCAGACATGGCCTTTTAAGTCCATGCGTGGGAGCCTTCACCATGGGCTTGGGCAAAGAACCCAAGGAAGCTCTGGCCTGGACACTTTCCTCCAAATCCTGCAGATAGTTGTTCCTCCTCTAGAAAGTCTTCTCGGTAGCAGGGTTGAAGGGGGCTGCCTGGTCCTCTCCCTCAGCAGCTTGATCTTACTTTGCCCTTGAATTCTCTCAGATCCCCTATGTGCTAAGTAACACGGCCTTGGCTGGACTGGATGCTGCCGCTCAGGAGGAAGAGTAATTGACGATAAAAACTTAGCTTCACGGTTCTTCTTACTGGATGTGAAGCATGATTGCCCTCAACACCACTAGGAAGGAGGTGTTGTTATTATGGCCATTTTATGGATAAAGAAACTGAGGCACCCGAGATCAAACTAGGACCAAATCAAAGTAGAAACTGGGAGGCAAGAGGGCAGGAGGGGACCCCTGAGTCTGGGACAGAGTCATGCCCACTATGGTTGGCCTCTGTATTTCGGTGTCCAGGTGAGGGCAGGGAGTAGGGGGAAAGCATCAGGGCCGCTGAGCTTTCCAGGAGGTCCCCAGTGAGTAGTGTGGGCAAGAGCACTCATTCCACTCCCCCACCCTCCAGGGAGGACTCGGCCTCAGGCCTTGGTTCCCCAGGTAACCTGGAGCCAAAGCTGGTCTCTGGGGCCCACAGAGAAGGCCAGGGGCAGAGTGAGAAGGAGCTCCCGTGGGCATCCCCTTCCAAGACTTACCAGATATGATGCTGGCTCTTTTCCTGGCACCACCTGATTGTGGGAAGGGTTCCTGATGCTCCTTTGGGGCTGGCTCCCACTGACACTGCAGGTGATGCTGTGCCCCTGGTGTGGGCCGACAGGAGCCCCATGTACCCCACGCACCCCTGGGCGGTGGGCTCAGTTTCCTGAGATGGAGATACTTGCGTGAGTGATTTGTTAAAGGCGTGCTCTCAGGAGAAATTCTTGTAAGAAATCACTCCGTCCAGAATGAATGTGTCTCCCCCACAACCATAATTCATATGCAGAAATCCTAACCCCCAGATATAGTGGAATTAGGAGGGGAGGCCTTTGGGTGGTGATTAGGCCATGAGGATACAGCTCTCAAAAATGGGATCTGTGCCCTTATGAAAGGGGCTCCAGAGAGTTCCCCTGGACCTTCCCCCGTGTGAGAAGATGCTGGCCCTGAGCCAGGAAGGGGGCCCCACCCAACCATGCTGGCTCCCAGAGCCTGGACCTCCAGCCTCCAGCACTGTGAGAAAGAAATTTCTGTTGTTTCTATGCTGCCCACTTCTGGCATTTTGTTATAGCAGCCTGAGTGGACTAAGACAAAAATGATGAGGGCCAGTTCTCTGCAGAAAAGGGCGACTGTGGGCTGCCTGGTGCAGGGATCTGGGTAGGCACAGCGTTGTGCACCGCACATTTGTGGACTCGGCTGTGGGACAGATTTCGGGGCTTCCCTGTACTTGCTTGGGGCCAGGGTGTGTGCTGCTTCTCCCCGAAGCGTCCCCAAATGCTTGGCACCTACAAAGTACCAGCAGTCCTGCTAACAAGCTCCCTGAATCCAGGAGGGCCAAATTTTCCAGCAGGCAGCTCATGTCTGGAGAGTCGGTGTTTGCAGCAAGTAACTGAGGTAGTGACGTGGGCAAACCTCCCACAGAGGGCTGGCTTCTTGTCATGGGACTTCCGGGACCCCACAGCTTGGAAACAGAGGAATGTCTGTTGCCCAGAGATGCACAAAGCCGAGGACGGGCAGCCGTGTGCGTCCCACACTCACTGGGTGGACTTCCAATCTGGAGCTTTCTCTGCCACCATGCTCCATCAGCAACCCTTCATCCAAATCTGGTCTGGTCCTCTTCCTCCTGGGCTCAGTGCCCATCCAAACACTTTCTCAGCAGGATCCTTCAGGCTCTGTCCATGAGAAGAACATGGCATTCTTCTGTGAGGCTCAGAAAATTCAAATAAACAGCTCACCACATTTGTACAGGCCAAAGACTGGCCCTCGCCTTTGTGGGCCTGACCTCTAATGCCTCCTCAGGGGTCCTGGGAGGAGTGTGCACATGTGTGGGGGCTGGGAGTTGGGGAAGACTCAGATAAGGGAAAACCCACTGTGACATTCAACACAAGCTTTACGACTGAGGTCCATGTGGGCAAAACTCTTTCGCCAACTGCAAAGTGAAAACCATCAGTGGCCATTTCTCTACAGTCCCAAGAAGACCATCATCAGAGGGACAGTGTTTACATTCAGGGAGCCAGAGAAGATGTGTTGCTTGAAAGCTAGATACGGAGATAATGGGGACAGGCTGCTCCAAGAGCTGGGACAATACCAAAGTGCTCCTTGCTGGGCTCAGCGAAATGAAAGGACAAGGGTTCTCTCTGATCAGAACAAAATCCTCGTGAAAAAGTTAGACAATGAGGCCGTGTGTTCATTTCATTCTCCGCCATGACCTAGAAGAGATTTCTCTCTAATGACAGATTTAAGACATGTCATTCCCAGCCCTGTCAACCTCTCCCAGGACACTACATTACAGAAGACTCAGTTACCTGGAAATCCTGAGGAGTTTCAGCCTCTGCCCAAACCATCCCAGCCTGTATATAGATACCTCTCTTGACCGAAATCCCTACTCTCCCACCTTCTTGGGGGTCAGTGTAAGGGAGGTCAGCTGTGGGACCTCCCTTTTTTTTTTTTTAAAGATTTTATTTATTTATTTATTTGACAGAGATCACAAGTAGGCAGAGAGGCAGGCAGAGAAAGAGATAAGAAAGCAGGCTTCTTGCTGAGCAGAGAGCCCAATGCGGGGCTGAACCCCAGGACCCTGGGATCATGACCTGAGCCGAAGGCAGAGGCTTAACCCATGAGCCACCCAGGTGGCCCAGGGAGGTTCATTTTGAAATCAGCAGAAGTACGGGGTAAGAGAGGGGATGTCACTCTGACTCCCCTCCCCCTCCCTTCCCTCTGTTGGGTGGAAACTATGGGATTTCTTGACAAGTTTGTGGTGGTCAATTTGTTTGCAGACTCACTGCAGTTAAAATACAGCACACTGGGGTGCCTGGGTGGCTCAGTGGGTTAAAGCCTCTGCCTTCAGCTCAGGTCATGATCCCAGGGCCCTGGGATTGAGCCCCACAGTGGGTTCTCTGCTCGGCAGTGAGCCTGCGTCCCCCCCCATCTCTCTGCCTGCCTCTCTGCCTGCTTGTGATCTCTGTCTGTCAAATAAACAAATAAAATCTTTAAATAAAATAAAATAAAATATGGCACACGGATGTTTATAGCTGCATAGCCACAACAGCCAAGAGTGGACATAACCCAGATGCATGAATGAACAGAATGTGGTCTCTTCATACAATGGAGTATTACTCCGCCATGAGAAGTCATGGAGTCCTGATACACGGTACAACGTGCACAAATCTTGAAGACATGATGCTAAGTGAAAGAAGCCAGCCACGAAAGGCTACATAGTATGTGATTCCATTTATATGTACTTTCCAGAATAGGTAAATCCAGACAAAATGCATATTGGTATTTGCTGGGGGGTGCTGGAGGGAGGGAAGGATGAGGAGTGACACCTTAGGGTAGGGACTTTTATTTTCAGGAGCTGAAACTGTTTGGAACTAGAATCTGTGGTTGCACAGCATGGTGAATATGCCGTATGTCATTGTATGGTACACTTTGAGATGGTTAGTTTTACTTTATGGGAATTTCAACTCTGCTATATGCTTAATGTTTGTATTCTCCCAATCCTGTATGTCAAACCCTAATGCCTAATGGGATGGTGCTTAGAGATGGGGCCTTCAGGAGAAATAAGAGAAGGCAAAGAGTTTGTTCACAGCGGACATATGAGATGGATATAACACCATCATTTTTATGCTCTGAGTCCGACTGGGACGAAAAAGAAAAAAATCTTATTCCACTCCACAGCTATAAGCCTCCTGTCCACCAGGGGGAGCTGTCCAAAGGACCCCCTCACCAGTCTTCCCATTAGGAATCTGTTTCCTTACCTTTTTTTTTTCTTTTCCTTCTCCCCTGCAGTGGTTTGAAAGGAAAGTAACTCCATTGGATCAAAGGATTGCTGGGTGATCTGGTTCATCACTTTTACCACTAGAAGCTCTGCAGCTTTCAATTCTAAATCAGGAGTTGGCAAACTTTTTCTCTAAAGGGCAAGAGAGTAAGTATTTTAGGCCTTGTGGACCATACATTATTTACAAAATCAGGCAAATGCCTGCTCCCCGTTTTTGTGAGCCAAGAAAGGTTTTTATATTTTAAAGTGATGGATAAAAAACAAAGAATAATATGCGCCACATGAAAATGAAATTCAAATTCAAAATTCTGGTGTCTATCAATAAAGCTTTATTGAAACACAGCTCCGTTCGTTCATGATGGATTAGCTATGGATGGCGACCTGTGAGCTGCAGTGGCAGAGTCGAGCAGTCACGGCATGAACCACAATGCCTAAAATATTATCTTGCCCCTAAAGAAAAACTTTGCTGACCCCTGTTCTAAACAAATAATGTGAGTGGTTAAAATCCACCACCAGACTCAGGCTTGCTGTTCTGTATGTCAGTACACATTTTTTTATGGGTGTAGGGGACCTCCTGTTTACTCATCTGTAAAATGGGGATGACAGCGCTATCTCATGAAGCTGTTGTGGGGATTAAATAACTTAATACACGAAAAAGCAGCTAGAGCAGCCTGTGGCATTTTAAGCACTCAGTAGATGTGCACTGTATGTTAATGTATAAAGATGAATTTAAATAAATACAGAAAACAGAGACTTCCCTCCTATTTTATTTTGAAATGTGCTGTAAACTGTTTGAAATGTCCCTTTAATGGCTTCTGGCTTCACCAGTATTGGATGACATGACAAATACTCCTTCATAGAAGGTACAAGTGAAACAGAACTGGAGGGGCATTTTGGATCCTTCCCTCTTCAGAAAGTGTGGTCACATGAAGACGTGTCTCTTTCTCAGTAGAACTGGCCCATGTTTCTTGGGAGCGACGTGTCCAAACCACTGTTCATCCATATTTCCTGGATGATTTGTTCCCTGCGCTCAATCCTTTCTGCCAGCTCTGCAGCCTCTATGGAACTGTAGACAGGATACGAAGTCCTACAGAACCCAGACCGTTCTCCTGGAAAATCGGAGTCAGAGGAGTCCTCCTCCCTGTCCTCATCCTCGCTGTCTTCCTCAGCCTTGTCACTTTCCGGCACCAGATGCTCCCTCGCCAGCTGCAGCTCCCTGAAGTCCTTGGTGCAGGACACTTTGACGACCAAGGCACACAATGTGAGTGCCAGACCGATGCAGATGCTGGACACGAACAGCAGCGCAGCTCTCTCTGGGTGGGCTGTGGGGGAAAGGACAAGTCAGGACCCAGGAAGAGCTGTCAGTCTTCACCAATCCAAAGTCCCACAGAAGCAGATGTCTGCCCAAACTGGCAGCTAATGCAGAATGCCAGTGCCAGACGGGATCTTGGAGACCATCCTCACCTAACTGATCCTGTGCTCTCCTTGGTTAAGGAAAAAAAAAGGTTTTGAGCATATATAGTTAATATAGGTATGCACATGAGAGGACACATAGCAGGGAGACTCAGAAGCTGGACCCCTGAGTGCAAACTCTGATCTGCTACTCATTAGCCATGTGATTTTTGGCAAGTTACATAACCCCTCTGTGCTCCAGTTTCCCCCCTGTAAAATGGGGCTGGTAGCACCTTCCTGCTATACAGTTAATTCCAGTAATGCTCTTGGAACTTTCGCTGACACATAGTAAATGCTCAATAAAGCTGTTTACTATTGGGAGTAAATTATGAAAAATTAACATATATAAAAATATATATGCACATACAAATGTAAGTACTAATAACAGTAGATGTTAACAAAACTTAATTTCTTCAGATTAAAAACTAAATATGAATAAAAGTTCTGGTAGATTTTCCAATATCCAAATGATCGTAGGATTATAATAATATAAATAAAAATGATGCTAATTTGTACTACATATTCTTGTCTAAATCTTTAATTGGTTTAATCCTTACATTAACCCTACATAGAAAGGACTATCACTCTCCCCGTTTTTTAGTTATGTACCCTTGAGGGGTTAACATTCCCTCTTTGGGAAATAATAATCCAGCAAACTCCCTCAAAATATAAAACAGGAGCTGGCAGACTTTCTCTGGAAAGGGCCAGGTACAGAGTGCCTTGGGCTCTGTGGGCCATACAGTGTGTGTGGCAACAATTCTGCTCTGCCTTTTAGCACAAAAGCCCACAAGAGTCTCTCCATGGTGGCCTAAGGCCTTTAAGGCCCCCTGACCCTCAGATCTCTGGTCTAGAGCCAGCACAAGCTCCAGCTCCAGCTTACTGGATCCAAATAAGACACCAAGAGGCCAGGGCCAGGGTTCCACCACCTGGGGCCTTGCTGCTGTTGGGTGAAAGCACAAAGGAGACCGGGCCCTGGTCCGACAGCACTTATGGGTGCAATAATAACTTTCCGACAGAACCAAAGATTAGAGACCGTGGGAACACAGCAGAATCCACACCTATGTGACAAGGTGGTGCTGATTTCCAGTTGTCCTCCCTGAAGGGATCATGTAACTCTGACTTTGGAATGTGTTAGTATCCTTCTATTTCAGTGTGGGTTCGTCTGGTCGCCTAGGATTCCTTTCGTAGAGAACAATGATGCCTCCATATCTCAGGAGAAGCTCTGCTTCCTGACACGTGACCCCAGCTACCCCAGTTACCTCTGATACCCTGTGCCCCGGACAGACCACAGCAAGCTCTTCCAGAGGGCTGAAGACAGAAGTAGAGGCAAGTGATGAAAATATTAGGGCACCAAAGGCATGCCTGTCAGCAGATGTGTGGTACTCACAAGCAGATGTTGGGGAAATACTAGTTAGGTGAAGCGAGAGTCAGCTTCTGAGCAAGGTTGTCTAGATGAGGCTCCTTGGGCACAGTCTGCTGGGGCCCAATGGCTAAGCCAGCTAATAAACTGCTTTCTTAAAACCTCCAACACACACACACACACACACACACACACACACACCTTTCTGTTTCTCTAATTTCAGAATTTTTCTATGGGCTTCTTCAAACCCATGATCTAGATTCTAGAATGATCAAGGTCTACACGGTTAGGAGAAGAGTAAAGTCCAAACATGCCTAAAACGATGTCCCAACCTCACTGTTGGGGATGGGTTCATATATCGGTTAAATGGCCAAAAAAGAAACCGTTCATCAGGGACCCCTGGACATTCTCACATCCATTCCGCCAATCCCTGTGTTCCAACATCCCAGGACAAGACCCTCGGATTTGGTTTCCAACTGACTTGTGTGTGCCCTGTGTGTATAGGACTGTGCCAATGTGTCAAAGCCACTTGCAGCTTGATCTGGGAGAATGTCCTTTTGGAATAACCCAATCTACTGAGTATAGAGCAGAATTTTCTAGAAGCTGCCCACTCACTCGCAGCTCCAGCTGCTCCTACTGGTGACTTCTTCAAACAGGCCTCCTCCCTGTGCCTTTTGGGGATGGATGTGCCTAAACAACCCTCAATAAAACCAAATAAAGGCCACAACATCCTTACATTTCTTTAAAATTGATGACCTAGAAATAGCAAATATGAGGTGGTAATAAGGAGCTGGACAGCTCGTGACACCACATGAAGATTCATCATCTGCTCATTTGTCAATTACTAACTGAGCATGTGTCCTGCGCCAGCCTCTCCTGGGCCCTGGGGCATGACAACAAGAGAAAAAACACCTGATCCTATGATGCTTAAGGTCCAGCAGAGAGACGGGTGCTAATGAATAAATCCCTCGATTTCCGGGAGTAAGGAGTATACAAAATGGTAGACAAGGATGGAAGGGAGTAATTCAGATAACATCCATCCTTCACCATCCTGAAGGGCATCCTTTCTGTGTGGAGAAACCAGAGCAGAGGTCTTGTATCTGTTGAATCCAATCATGACCCAGCTGATATCCATGCTGAGGCCTCAGGCAAATGGCTCAGCTCCTCTGATCCTTCGCTTCCTTGTGTGCAGGATGGGGGATCAGAGTCCTCTCATTCAGGGTCTTTGCTATGGACTAAATTGTGTCCCCCCCCAGACTCATGTGTTGGAGGCTTACCCCAAAATATGTGGTGATAGGACTTAGAAGGAAGTAATTAAGGTTGAATGAGGTCATTAAGGGTGGGGCCCTGATCCAACAGGATCCTTGTCTTTATAAGAAGGGATGCCAGAGAACATTCTCTTTTTCTCTCTCCCTCTTACTCTCCTTTCCTCCCTCCCCTCCTTCCTCCTTCTCTCTTCCTCTCTCTCTCCCTTCCTCCCTCAATCTCTCTCTCTCTCTCTCTCTCTCTCTCTCTTTCTTTCTCCCTCTCATTTGAGAAGGCAGCTGTCTCCAAGCCAAGAAGAGAACTCTCACTAGAAACAGACTCTGCTAGTACCTTGACCTTGGACTTCCAGCCTCCAGAACTGTGAGAAAAAATGAATTTCAGCTGTTGAAGCTACCAGATGCCAGCCTACAGTGTCTTGTCATGACGGCCGGAGTTGACCAACCCAGTTGTCGAGAGGAAGTGATGAGGCCCATCATGGCCATGGACCAGCGAGCAAAGTCATCATTGCCTCCAGTTAATCATTATTTCCCTGAAGGATTTTCATGATGCCTTTCCTCCAGGGGGCTCTCCAAGGACTTTGAAAATATGGAGTTATTTCCAACAATAAAAATGCTTAACATCTCTTAACTCTGACAACTGTGGCAAAAGAGCTCTCGGACCTCCACTGCTGGGGGACCAGGATATGCATGGGAGCTGGGCAGAGCCCTGTTAGAAAGAGCAGTGGGGTTGGGAGATGCAGAGCCTGGCAGAGAGAGAGCAGGTATGGGGGAACCAGAAGAACAGAACATTAACAATAGTTATGTTTAAGCTTTGAGACTAGGGGCGAGTCCTATTTCTTGGTTCTTTCCTGTGTTTTCCACTTCAAGCACATTCTACTTTTATATGTAAGGGAGGGAAAGACCTCGTACATGTTATTAGGAAGAGCCAGACGTGGAAGTGGGAGGGTGGTTTGGAGACAGAAGATTCTTAGAGGAAACTAACAAGCATACAACAGACATTCAGGAGGACGATGGATGCAGGAAGACGATGGAACACGAGGGACCTGTGCAGGATCCCAAGACTGTCCTCTGTTTCTCCTGCGTTGGGTTGTTTCCTTCCAGCTTTATTTTCATCTGAGGAAGGCTTACTTGAAAGAGCCCCAGCCCCGGCAGCCCTTGAAGAGTAATGCTGTAATGCCATGTATTAATACGAATTTTACCAAAGGCCTCAGAGATCTGGGGCTTCCTGAACAGTCAGGGGGCACTGCTGATACTTGCAGAGTCAATATTTCAAAATACAGTCAACATAAGGTGAGCAGATGGGGGTGATGAGAGACGACAGACACCATCCCCTCCCTGATGAGAGTTTCTGCTCTGCCAGGTAGGGAGGGCTGAGTCCGACTGATCCTCAAGGGGAAGATTATCAGGGAGAACTTGGCAACTGTGAGAAGTAACACGGGATGGCTCAGGAAGGGACTCTGCCTTCACAGGGCTTGATCTGTTTTCTTTACTAGGTGATCCTTTAACTCCATTTTTTTCCAGCCAGGGGTGGGATTCACTAATCCTCTGCCCTTCCCAGATTTTAGAGCTGGGGAATGCGCATTCCTTGGGTTCCTGCTTTTCAAAACGGTAAATACTCATGGAGCCCAACTCCTGAACAGCGTGACTTTATCTGTTCACCCTCTCCCGACATGGTCCTCTTGTGGGTAGCCTGGATGGCCCTGCACCTGAGGCCAAGCCTCTGTGTGTCCAAATCATAGCAAGACTGCAGGTGCTGAGCCAAACTTAAAGTCATTTTTCTTCAGCTGAGTGTTGTAATTAAACGTCGCATCTGTTAGTGAGACTTCTGTAAAGCCGTTAGCATTCTAGGAAGCTTCGATTCATTGACCTACCTCTAATGTAAGCAAATGCTGCCAGAGAGTTGCTAACAATAATGCCGTCTTTCCTCAGAACCCTCGGTTTGCTTGGGTCAAAGTTTATACCTGTTTCATAAAAAATTCAAAACTGATTAATTATAGCTGTTCACAGTATGCCTACTGCTCCCAACCCAGGACTGCTATAATAAATAAAAAGTCATAGAAATCAAATAAATGGGCCTCTGACTGAATTATAGAAGACCAAGCCAGGAGGAGCATTTACTAAATAGTCTCTGAAAATATCAAGTGATAAGAGGGATTTAGAAATTCTAAAATGTGCTGGTTCCAACTTCAGGTGCCACTCATCCACTCCAGTCCAGAAGGGGACAATGGATTTTCCCATTCATCATGCCTCTGGGAGGCTTAATAATGGCTTATCTAATCACAGAGCTGCTGCCTGCATTGTTGACCATAGATAAGAAGGGAGGGCGGTTATGGAGGGAGATTGTGTGGGGCTACTTTTTTGGAAATGACAGCAAAATGCAGGGCAGGTCTGGTTTCAGATGCCTGGTTACACTGTTGTGATAGAGCTTAGGGAGCTCGTGATGCGCAGCCTCAGAGCTTTGGGGACCCTACGGGATGTTAGACAGGTCGAAGGAAGGGTGGCATAGAGCTCTTGGGTCTCCACTGCTGGGGGACCAGGATACAATGGGGTCCAGGGGAGCCCTGTTAGAAAGAGCAGTGGGGTTGGGAGATGCAGAGCCTGGCAGCGAGAGAGCAGGTATGGGGGAACCAGAAGAACAGAATATTAACAATACTTATGTTTAAGCTTTGAGTCTAGGGGCAAGTTCTTTTTCTTGCTACTTTTCTGTTTTCCACGTCAGGCATACTTTACTTTTATACTTAGGAGCAAAAGACCTCACAAATGTAATAAAAGTAATGCAAAACAAACTTTGAACACACAAAGTATAGTATCTTAGATGTTCTACAGAAACTTTGCAGTTTCCACCAGAAGCCCCAAGAATCTGATTCCATTTTAGACTTGATAAGAAAACGAAAATGTTCATCCCCCTCCTAATCACAACAGCCCAGTGAAAACCCAAAGGCAGAGGGGCCATGTGTTGGAAACCCTCAGGTCAAGCTTGGTTCCTGGTTTGGGTCATCTTTCCAACAAGCTCATCAGAGAATCCAGGAACCCCAAATTTGTTTCTGAGCTGATATCTTTTTTCAAGTGATATTTCACTTGAGAAATAAGAGGGGAGTGGAAGGAAGATTTATTCCACTTATAATTTATAAAACAAAACAAGATACTGGCCACCATTTGCAATCCACCGTGACAACATTGCCATTGTCAGAGCTGGTAACTCCAGCTCACCTCCTGACATACCCTTTCATTCCAACCAGTGAGCAACCAACTATGGTCACATGGGGCTGTTTACCTTTACTTTAAGAGAAATGCTGGTAGTAAGCCATAAAAATTACCATGTTCACCATCTTTCTGCTTCAAAGAAGGTTTTACGTTAGTGACGGCTGGATCAATCGCTGAGAGTATGTTCTTGGGAACTAAAAACCAGAAAATAAATATTTTAAAAACTTTGTACATTTAATATAATTTTTTAACTGCCATGTGGATAAGTTACCCAAAAAAAATCCATTTTCAAATCAATACATAAATTACTCACTCTACTTCTCAGAGACACTCACACACCTATACCAATGGTACCAATGTGACCATCAAATGCCCCAGAAAGGTAAATTTTGGAGAACAAGTAAACAAGCTATGGTGTATATACCCAACAGAATAGTTAGCCATAACACAAACCAAAGTCCTAACATCTGCTACAACCTGGGTGGGCCTCAAAAACCTGATGACCAGCGAAAGGAACCAGATACAAAAGACGACACATGGTATGATCCCATTAATAAGAAATATCCAGAACAAGTGGATGCACAGACAGAAGGTAAGTTCTATTACCTTACCTTACCAAGGATCAGGGGTGGAGATGGGGACTGACTGCAAACGGGTGTCAGGGAACTTTGGGGATCATGGACGTGTTTTACAATTGGAGCACGGTGATTGTCGTGCAGCTAGCTCTATAAATTTTCTAGAACTCCTTGAACTGTTTTTGCTTAAAATGGGTGAATCTTAGGGGTGCCTGGGTGGCTCAGATGGTTAAGCATCTGCCTTCAGCTCAGGTCTTGATCCCAGTCCTGGGATCAAGTCCCTAGTCGGGCTCCCTGCTGAGTGGGAAGCCTGATATTTAAAAAAAAAAAAAAAAAGGTGATTCTTAGAGCATGGAAATCACACCTCAATAACACTGTTAACTTTGGGGACACCTGGGTGGCACAGTTGGTGGAGTGCCTGACGCTTGGTATGGGCTCAGTTTATGATCTCAGGGTCACGAGATTGAGCCCCCACTGGGGTCAGAGCTTGGGATTCATTCCCCCTCTGGCCTTCCCCCCTCATTCATGCTCTCTTTCTCTCTCTCTCTCTCTCTCTAAAAAAAAAATTAAAAACAACATTGCAACTCTGAACATGAACTTCCCTTCCATGTAGTGAAACAACATGTCTGTAATTGACTCAGAATCCACCACAGACCTCTTTCCCTGGTTCCAACTCTGCTTTTCACCTACCGCTCTGAATCCTTGCCTCCTTAATGAGCCTGAAGGGAATTCTAAGACTGCACGCAAGAACGAAAGAATGCTGCTCTAAGTATTTTAAGGGAAATAGGAAAATGAGAGGAGAGCAGTGTAACAGACTGTGTTGGAAGGTGGTCAGAGAGTCTGCAGAACTGACCCTCAGAATAAACCATCCCATTCCAGACGCCCCAGAGAAAGCGGACAGGATGGTAGCACACAGAGGGCCAAGCAAGAATTCCGAAGGCCAAGGGCACCGCAGCCGGCCGGGAGAAGGGAGAGGAAACCAAATATTTTTGCTGCAGAATATTGCTTATTTTTGTTTGTTCTTTGGCTCAGCTGGTATCTGGGAGAAGTGGCAACAGGAAACAGAAGGGAGCCAACATAAACCGTGCAAGTTATTCAACTGCACTAATTTTTTTTTTTTTAAAGAGCTGGTAAGACATCTTCCACAGCAAGAACACCTCATTTTCTTTCTCGAAGTGTTTAAACTCTTTTAGGGATGTCCTGGGACCGACAACCAGAGAGCATTCCTCAGTTGTGCTTTTTCTGTGCGCAGGACACCCTGACGCCTTTGTGTGCATTGGCAGTGAGAGTCACATCCAGGGCTGTAAGGTGACGATGACAGGAGGCAGTGGAAGCTGTCCAAGGACCCTGAGGAGGGCCCCTCGGCTGATGGTGGGCACACTGCTGATTCTGGGAGCAGAGGAGTGCCCAGATTGCTGAACCGTGTTGCAACAAAATGCTTTCTGATGAAACAGCCTCTTGGTCATGCTGAACCCTGAGAAGTTTGCCCCCGATTCCTTGGCAGGAGTAAGTCCTCCCTACCAGGAGTGGCATGTCTTGGACATCTGTCTCTTGGCTTGTTGTCAAGACACAGCCTGAGCCGGGGGGCTCACTGCAAATGCTAGAGGTTTTACGGTTTGGGAAGGAGGAAGAGCTCAGACAGGAAGGACAGTCTAGACGAGCTCTGTAGAATAACCAGGCCCTTGTAAGACATTAAACTGCTGTGTGTGATACAGGCTCACATCAGGAAACTTGCGCATTTCCTACAGGAAAATGGCCCTGCTAGTGGGAGACTCTTTAGGAACTTGAAAATAACAGGTGTCAATGCACCTGTTGGATTCTTGAATGTCCTTGTTTCAAGAATGAAGATGGTGCTGGGGTGTGACTTACGTACGGCTGCCCTTCAAACCCGGCTCTCTCCATTTTAGATACATCATAAAAACACCAGCACACCATTCTTCATGGAGCTCTTAATACATCGGACCCTGGGCTCACATTTAAACAGTGCATCTTGTGCAGGGTCCCCGGTGCCCCGTGAAGATGTGTATCATTCCCATTCCTGCAGATGGGACAACTGAGGCTCCGAGAAGGGGTAGCGTCTCAATGCCTGGTCTTGTGCACAGGTGCCTTTGATCTTTCCCTGATGCTGTGCTGTCCAGGGGACACTCAGCCTCTGGAAGCTGGATAAAGGATTATAAAGATGGCAAAATGATTTCCGCTTGGACAATCCCTGTGAGTCTGTTTAGGGAAAACCACAGAACACAATTCGCTAATTTTGGGCAGGGTACCCACTTCGACTTCTTTTTTTTCCCCCTTGAATAATCTTCTGTGTCAAGTTTGGGTCAGTGCAGACTTTAAGAAAGAAGTCTCCAGAAGTCGAACTTAGGGCTCAAAAAGATTCTGCGTGTCAGAGACAAACACGGTATCTCTACTTAACTTGCCCTCCTTCTCAGTAGGAGCCCAGACTGCATCAGTGCCAGTAAATCCAGACACACCCCTATCTTGCTGTCCCCAAATCCTGCATCACCTACTCCTCCTGTCCCTAATTCTAACACCTTCTATCCCTCCTGTCCCCCAATCTTGGTACCTCCCTTCCCTCCTGCCCCCAATCCTAATAACCCCCCTTCCCCACTGCCCCCTAATCCTGGCACCTACTCCCCTTGCCCCTAATCTTGGTGCCACCATCCCACCTGTCCCCAAATCCTGGCACCCGCCTGACTGCCCCAGCTTCTGGGAGGAGCTGTGAGGACCCTAGGCGGAGGTCCACACATCTCTCTTGCCTCTCAGGCATTATCGGTGTGGGAATGCTGACTGTGCCTCTGTCCCGTTGACCCTTGAGTGCTAGTGGCTATGGACATGGAGAGGAGTCCTCCCTGCACATGTGAGGGGGTCAGTGGGCTGAGTTTTCCAGGTCTGGCTTATCCTATGAGGAGGAAAATCTGAAATCCAGCATGATCAAGAAGTGAGGCTAATGGTTAAACTTGGAGGGAACACAGAGAGAGGACCTCATTTAGCAATGCACTAATGAATACTGGAGGAAAGCATCCCAGCCCCATCAAAGTGCTCTGTGCTGAGTGGTCTGACATTAGCCAGATGTGCTGCCTACAGTTCCAAGAGCAGAAGGCCCGCAGCCTGGAACATACCCCAGGGCTCCACAGAGAGGTGAAATTTTCTGCCCAGCCTAAGTCCCGCAGGGAAGAGAGCCGGGATTAAATGAAGCTCTATAAAATAGGGAAGAGTGTTCTTTTTAAAATGCAAATTGATTATGTCCCCTGAGACAACTTGCCAGGGGCTCCCCGCCCTTGGGTAAAAGCCTAGCCTAACCTCCCATCCCCCAGGTCTCTCCAGTCCTACTGCTGTGCTCGCCTCCCCCCTTTGCCTGTGCTGTTCCTTCTGCCTGCCCTTCCCTCCCCCCACCTTCAATTTCCTGACTCCTACACAACTGGTCTCACTTGCCTCTAATGCCACCTCCCCCAGGAAGCCCTCCTGGTCCCTCAAGTCTCCGAGCAGAGATCATACTGCTCATTGTCATTTCCCTACCCCCTGGCAAGGGGTGCAGTCAGGGTTCCTAAGGGTGAGGCATCTCTGCCCCACTGTCTGGTTCACAATGAAGATGGGTGGCCTGTGTTTCTATAGAAATGAGGGTCCAGGGCTTGATGTTCAGTACTTGTCCCTAATGCCCCTCTTCCCTCCCCTTCATGGAGAGGGGTGTCCTGTCCCCTATGTGGGCACAGCAAGACCGCTGGGTAGAAGAGCAAATCTGGGTCAGATGCCGCAGTAGGAAGCAGGCATTAGAACAGACGTCTCTGGGGTGATCTTTCCTGAGCCTCTTATGTAAGAGCATCTTGACTTGGGGGTTTGGCCGGGCCCCTCCCTATGAAGCCATGTCTATAATCACATCACATGGTCTCTGCTCAGGGCTGATCAAGGGAGGAGGGCTACCTGACCCCAGCCGGGCCAATTAAATATCTTTTTGTTAGGAATTTGGAATTAAGATTTCAGACTGCAGGTCTCCACTATCGTTGGAAACAAGACATAAAAATCACTGAGGCTGTGGGGGTGGCCATGTGCCATCCAGCAGGCTCACGGGGAGGCTGGGTGTGGGAGGAGAGAGATTGAAAGTAAGAGAGAGAATAAGGGAGCAGAAGTGCCAGGAGAAGCAGAGAAGAGGGATGCCAGAGGTTTACCATGACCTTGGAGCTTCAGGTTGAAGCCTTGTTTCCATGCCCTGGCTCCCATGGCCTGACACCTACCCCCCTCCACCTCCTTTTGGCTTAAACCAGCTCACACTGGCTCCTACACTCACATCCAAAGAGTGCTAACTAAGACTGATTCGCTTAGAAATGAATTATTGACAACCTCGGACTTCGTATCAACTTCCACATTGGTTGGGAGACATTTTTAAAAAATGTAAAACCCTGCATTCCCATTGGTGACCTATAAAATATTCAGACATTACAAATCATTTTTTAATGATTCAGGTTGCAGAGTAAAGAGCCATCTGGCCGGGGGTAGAGGAGAGTATATATTTTTTTAAAGATTTTATTTATTTATTTGACAGAGATTACAAGTAGGCAAGAGAGGCAGGCAGGGAGAGAGAGGAGGAAGCAGGCTCTTCGTGGAGCAGAGAGCCCGATGTGGGGCTCGATCCCAGGACCCTGGGATCATGGCCTGAGTCAAAAGCAGAGGTTTTAACCCACTGAGCCTCCCAGGCACCCCTAAGGGGGAGAGTATATTTTTAAAATGCCAGCCACTTAGAAGGTGATTAGAAAGCATCTACGGGGGGTGGGGAGAGTGGATAGGCACGAACTTGCCTCACAGTCCCAGGCACCTGCCCCCCCTTTGGAATAAGTCCTGGAGGCCACACTGCTGGAAAAAGGGGCATTGTCCTAGGGAGATGGGAGGACACTGTCAACGCCCCATTTCCTCCACAGCCCCACACCCAAAACCAAATTGCAAGCCCTCTTCCTGACCTCAGCCTTCAGTCCTCAACTGACTCTTTCAAGTGCCTCCCTCTGCCATTCTCAACCTCACCCAGACCCCTCCACTGACCCTCCCACTCTCCCTTCTTCCCGAAGCCCCTCCTATCTGCAGCTCAGATTCCTCTATCCACCACTGTGATCACTCAGATGGGAGCACCTCGACTCTCTCCCTTCTTTGTCATTGACCAGTGAGCCTTGAGGACCCCTCAAGCAGCTGGCTGCCCTGGAAAGAACCACACCAGCAGGCAGACCAGTGTCCCCGAGGACTCTGACAGTAGCCTCCGCCCCCCACAGCCATTCCTTAATACCTTCTCTTGTCTTCTCAAACCCCCTTCCCTTCCCGGTCCTCACGGCTGATGATCTCATCTCATGCCAGAGAAGACAGGCCCCGAGACTGAACAGAAAACCCCCCACCCACTCCCAGAGCCTCCCGTCCCACTGTGACAAGGGAAACATCCTTCATCCCCGTCCCTCTGCCTCCTCTGGGTGCCCCAGTCTTTCCCCCAGGCAGGTGTCCTCAGTGTCTCCTGCATCTTCCCACTTTCCAAACCTTTCTCAAATCCATCCGGTTTTTACTCACTCTTGTTCCAGCTGGCGCCCACCCCCAGCCCACTCCGGCCCACTCCCCACCCCACGCCCCACAGACTGGTCTCTTAAAAGTCCAGTCATCACGGCGGTCTGACCCCCCACCGCGAGTCCTCCACTGGCACCTTCCCCCAGGACCCCACAGGACCGGGTCCTGGCCGCTCCTGGGCGGTTTCACGCCACCTTGACCTCACCAGCTCCGCCCCTCCCCCTACTCGGGACTTGGCAGGGGCTGCCCGGATTTACCTGGCGGAGTTACCTGCTCGTTTGTTAAGTGGCCCTCTCTAGCCCTCAACTGATAATGCCAAGGACAAGAACCATACTCCCTTTTTTATTTTTTTAAAAGACCCAATTCTTGGCACCGGGCACCACTGCCGCTGAGCACATGCCCTCAGGGCACTGAATGAATGGACCGGGGAGAAGCAGCTTGAACCGGAGCAGGACCTCGCGGCCCCAAGAGCCCACCTTCTCTCCACTAAGAAAAGCCCCCACCCTGGGAGCTGTCAGCTCCTTCTTGAAGGCACAGCAGAATATTGACCCCGTTTGTAGGCTACCCTCCTTCAACACTCAGCTGGAGAGGCCGGACGCTGCTAGAACTTCAGGGTGCTCTGTGTGGCTTCTTGGAGGAGCCCCAGAGCTGCTCCGGCATGGGAGCGGGAATAAAGGCTGAGAGGGCAAGTCACACCACATTTCCTGCAGTGCACGTGTGGCTGCTGTTAGCTTGGAAACGCATTCATGCCGCCACCTGACAGTACCAAGTACGGCTTTGACGCCGCAGAGGACATGTTTAGCTCAGGATATAAAAGGCTGGGGAATGCACTGGAATATTATTCGATCACAAAAAGGATTATTCGATCACAGCGTGGATGAACCTTGCAAACACGCTGGGTAAAGAGGCGCCAATCATGAAAAAAAAACCGAAATAATAAAGAAAACCTACATCCTGCATGATATCGTTTATATGAGAGGTACAAGAGGCAAATCCCCATCGAGACAGAAAGCAGATCGGTGGTGGCCTGGGGTGGGGTGGTGGGGGTGCGTTGGGGGCTCACAGTTAAGGGGGCAGAGTTTCTTTGGGGGATAATGAGAATGTTCATAAGTTCATTGTGGCAATGGTTGCATGATTCTGTGAACAAAATTAAATCCCAAGAATAAACTGAAATTCTAAAATCACTGATTCGTGTGCCTTAGGAGGTGAACCAGGTGACCTGTGAATTATATCTCATTCAAGCTGTTACACAAAGAACAAGGTGGGGAGATGTGCCGGGAGAAGGGGTTTCCAGGAGCACACATCGGGTTTTTCAGATACGGTTCTCTTTGCTCCCTTGGCTCCCACGCTCATTTCAAAACGAACGGTCCCCGTGTCAGGATGACAAACCAGAAATCCACCATACCCTCCGAGAATCAGTACTGCCCTTTCACTTTCAGGCAGCTCTGTAAATTTGGACTCTAATGGACCAGGCGTTGCATTTTCTCGTTTGAAGACGCTGGGAAAACCAAGTCTGCTGTCATGTAACACTTTTAATTGTTTTCGGGTGAGCATTTGATCTGCTGACTCACCGCGGTGGGTATGCAGATAATATGGCTGTTGGCGGTATAGAGAGTTAGTCATTCAGAGCCTAAAACCAAGACTGCAAGGGTAAGCGGGAGCCAAACAATACTTCTGCGAGCTTGCGTCATATACACAGAAATTTCAGAGCCTCCTAAGCGCCCAGATTAAAATCACTCTTCTCCCATGTGCTTGTACTTTCTGTCCTCTTCCCATTTATTGTCGATCTGATCGCTGAGAGTGCTTTCAATAAAACGAATTGTGACCAAAGAACTTGTCTTGCCTATTTAATGTGAACATCCTAGACAGGAATAAAGGATGAAAAAAAAGTACTCTGGAATATCTGGGGTGACAACACCGTTTCAGGAGTAACGTCGTTTGGTTTGTTGCACGAAAATGCCTTTTCCCACGATCACCACCTCCCAAAGAGGCGGGTCTTAGAGCAGGTTGGGGGGCGGGGTGGTATATTCTTACCACAGGCATAGGTGACAGTGAGGTATTTTTTCACTCCTGGCGGACAGGGGCTCCCGAAATGGTGATCGTTGACCATGATTTTGCATCTCTGCTTCCCGTAGCACCTCCTGGATAATACTTGCAAAGCCCAGTAAGACAGGCAGTCTGAAAGGCAGGGAACGCCAACAAGAATTTCAGGTTGCATCCGTATCTGGCTAACCACGGGGCTTTTGCTATTTTCTGTTAAGGAAATACACTGAGCTGGATTTCAAGTTCATGGACATAGTTTCTCGGTAAATTTTCTGTCTTATTAATGTCCCCGGGATGCTTTACCATATGAGTCATATAGGCTAAGTCCTATATAGGCAGAGCGGGCTTCTGGACACGCGCTAGCAGGGCCGTGAGCTTGCTGTGACACTCTGGTCTTACTGTCTTGAAATTCTTACATATTTTTGAGCAAGGGGTCCTACATTTTCATTTTGCACCAATCCCCGCAAATAATGTAACTGGCCTTGTACACAGAACATGCAAAATATGTAAAACGCTGAATGAAGACTATTTCTTTTATGCTCCTTACCACGCCTTGAAAGACTTCATTTGCCATTTTTTTTTTAAGAGAGAGTGGGCAGGGAGGTGGTACAGAGGGAGAGGAAGAAAGAGAGTCTCTCTTTTTTTTTTAAGATTTTTTTTTATTATTATTTATTAGAGAGAGAGCACGAGACAGAGCATGAGCAAGGGGAGGAGCCAAGGGAGAGGGAGAAATAGGTTTCCCACTGATCCAGGAGCCTGACGCTGGGCTAGATCCTAGGGCACCGGGATCATGACCTGAGTTCAGAAGCAGACGCTTAACTGACTGAGCCACCCAGGTGCCCTGAGGAAGAGAGAGAATGTCAAGCAGGATCCACACTCAGAGCGGAGCTGGATGTGGGGCTTGATTTCAAGATCCTGAGATCGTGACCTGAAATCAAGAGTCAGACCCTTAACCAACTGAGCCCCCCAGGCGCCCCTATTTGTCTACTTTGAGAAGACATCTCCCCTGCGTGAACACAAGCTCCGAGAGGACAGTGACTCTTTCTGTCTTGTTTGTCATCAATGCCCATATCCTGGCCCAGTGTAGAAACCCAGTAAATAACTGAAGAATGAATGAATGAAATGAACTAAATAAACACAAGGATAGGTTTTTCAGCACCTGGCACAACGCCAACACAATTAGTAAATATGAATTTCACACATACAGAGGTGAGGTGCAGAGGCGCTAAGTGCTGTAAGAAAAACAAGTCAGAAGAAGTCTACTTTGCTTCCACAGAGTGTGCTGGAGGTGCAGACAAAACCCACACGTTGGACCTGATGTCCAGCCACGTGAAACAGGGCGTGAGTGTCGGCAGTGCAAGGCGAGGACGAGGGGTGCTAGGGTCAGTGTCGGGAGAGATGAGTGTGGACCTTCACGGTCATGACGGGCTTGCTGGGGTTAGAGAGACTTGGTCACGGGAGAAGGTGCTTAACTGGATAGAAATGAGCAAGACAGAAAGGCATAAACACCAAAGTAGCGTCACTTAAGGGGAGTCCAGGGGGCTGACCGTGACCTGGAATAGTGGGGTGTGGACGGGGAAGCCACAGAGAACGAGCAGGGAAAAGGAACCTGGAGAGAGACTGAGTTTGCCTGTGAACACTTAGCCAAAGACAGACTTTATTCCGCTAGCGACATGCAGCCTAGAGAAATGGCCTCATGCTATTGTCCTTTAGGGACAGTGTATGGGAGGCCCTGGGAGAAGGGAACCAAACTCAGCTTGGAAGCAATTTTAATAATATATACGGGGTGGGGTGCCAGGGGGTTCAGTTGGTTGAGTATCTGACTCTTGGTTTTTGGCTCTGGTCGTGATCTCAGAGTCGTAAGACTGAGCCTAGTGTGGGGCTCCTTGCTCAGCGGGGAGTCTGCGGGAGATTTTCTCTCTCCTTCTCCCTCTGCCCCTCCCCCACCAAATAAATAAATAGATAAATAAAATCTTTAAAAAATAATACATACTGGGAGGAACTTAGAACTTGGAGAGCAGAGAAAAGAGGAGAGAATTTTAGAGACCTTACAAAGTTCGGTTCACTTACAACAACAGCTAACATGACAGGCTGTTCTCAGCACTTGCCCGTCAACTGATGGGGTGTCCCCAATGCTTTGCTGGGACACAGGTTGTTCATCATATATGTAATATGTTACAATAAGTTATATATAATAGTTTGCTTATATAATATATAAATCAGGGAAATACAGATTAAGACCATGATGAAAATAATATTTTGCACTTTCTAGATCAGCAAAACTTAAGACTGACTATCCCAAGTGTTGCAGAAGACAGATCAATGGAAACTCTTGAGCACAGCTGGGAGAGGGTAAACTGTGGAGCATACACCGGCATCTTTTAAGCTGACACACTTCACATCCTGGGACTCAGCCGTTTCATTTCCAAAAGTCTATAGGGTCACCTAGACTTTCCCTAAGCCCTTCAGAATTCCCAGTCAAGAAATCCGAGAATGGGATGTACGATTTCTGCATTGGGAAGAGGTAACGGTCTGAATTATGAAAATTTTCTTAGAAGTCTGATGTAACTATTGTTTATTCTGTTACAAAGGAAATATGTGTTTGTAGTTGAAAACTCAAAAATCACAGATAAGCCAAAACTAGAAAAATAAAAATGCCTATAAATCCGGGAAAAACAAAACAAAACTATTAATCTTCAAGGAACCTCCTGCCACCACTTTTCTGTGTGGGAAGGTCCTTCCCCCTCAATGGTGTCATATACTTATCAATTTGTAGGCTATTTTTTCCCATTTAATATATCTGCAAAATTTTAACATGAACATAATTTTAAAGAATTGCATAGTTTTCCATTGTATGAATGCGCCAGCTCTATTTACAATACCCAATGCAATCACTGTTCAGATGATTTCCGGTTTTGAACATTAGAAGCAGTTCTATGTGGGGGCACCTGGGTGACTCAGTCAGTTAGGCATCCGACTCTTGATTTTGGCTTGTATCCTGATCTCAGGGTCCTGAAGTGGAGCCCACGCTCAGTGGGGAGTCCATTGGAGGGTCTCTCTCTCCCTCTGCCTCTCCCCCACCCAAACTCGCGCTCTCTTTCTCTCAAATAAATAAATAAATAGAAACAGTTCTTTGTGGAACATCCTTAGAGCTAAATATTTGCACATGAGCACGATAGTTTCCACAGGAATTCCTGGAAGTATATTGCTTTGTCAAAGACTGCTTAAAATATTAAGGCTTTTGATACACACCGCCCAACTGTTACCCAGAAAATTTCTGATTCATACTCCCGGCAGAATTGTATGAGTGCCCTAGAAGCCTTATATTTTCTTAGGATGTGTGCCTGACCATATTCTTTCAGGCTAACAGAGGAAGGAAAAAGAAACTCTTTTCATTTATAAGCCCACAACCCTCTTTGACCCAGGAGGTCTTTCGACGAGCGTGATTTAGAGAGGCGTGCTTCTGCACTCTTAGAGTTCCCTGGAAGCAAAAGAGTTTATCTTGGTCAGAGTGAAACCCACAGTGTGTTTTCAGGAAGAGGCCCAAGGTAATTCAGGTCTGACTCAGGTCTGACCATATCCTTATTGACACTGAGCTCTAGGCCGTTTCTAGGACTTTTTTCTCAAGTGATGATCTCCCTCTCAGGCTGATTTTATTTGCACCCTCTCTTCCTCTGCCCCCAACCCATCTGATAACACAATATTCAACTGTTTAATTTTTTTTTTTTAGCTATTATTCAACACTGAAACTGAAGTTAATTAATCTTTACAACGTCTGTTTATTTTGATAATTAGGCTGCACTTGGCAGCAGGGGGCCCCTGGCACCTTAATCTTTGGCTGGGAAGTCGAGATCCACCCACACTTGGCCTTGGGATGGCCTTAGCCCAGACCTTGAGGCCCACTGGGTGGTTTCTAAGGAAACAGCAGGATCCCTGGAGCCCACCCAGAAAACGTAACTGCAGCAGGAAATGACACGTCACAGTGGACGCCCAGCCAGGAGACCTTCCGGAAGTTCATGCCCAGGTCTGTGGGAAGGCTCACCCCGCCCTGTGTTAAGATGTAGTTTCACTGGTGTTCATGCAGGACCAACAGCGATCAGTCACTTTCACACTCTCCTTTCCCTTCCACTTGACAAGACATAGATTCTGACGGAACTGACCTCCTGGAAGCTCTTTCAGGCTTGTCTTTGAAGGGTCAGCACCCTCAAGATAAGACAGAAGATATAGCTTTGTTTGAACTCATGTGGCCAAAAGATACCACTTTTTGAAGATGGCCTCTCAGCTAGCGTAGTCATCGGTCTTTCATGTCTTCCCCTTTATTTCATAGTTCAGGGTTATTGCAAAGTATTAGTTTGCTACAGCTGCTGTAACAAGCACTACCCCTTGGGAACTTAAACAGCAGAAGTGTATTTCCACTCCGTTCTGGAAGCTAGAAGCCCGAGATGACAGTAGGGTTGTACCTTCTGAGGCCTCTCTCCTTGCCTTGCAGATGGCAAGACCATGTGTCCTCACATGTCTTCCTCTGTGTATGTCTGTGTCCTAACCTCCTCTTCTTATAAGGACACAAGTTATATTGGATTAGCACCCACAGGACCTTAATCTAACTTGAACACCTCTTTAAAGATCCTCTCTTCAAATGCAGTTGCATTTTGGGGTGCTGGGGTTTAGGACTTTAGCCTACAAAATTTAGGGACACAGAACTCAGCCCCTAACAGCCTTCAAGATGATCCCTAGTCATCATCAGCCTCTGGAACTCACAAGGTACCCTTGTGTACCCTCCTCCCACAGTGAATCAGAGCCAGTCCACATGACCCCTATCTCCGCCAACAACAATACCGACTCAACCTACCATATAAGAGACCCACCTTGGAAGCTCAGCCTTCAGGTGACTGTCGCCCCAGCCAGTGTCCCATCTGAGACCTCGCCAGAACACGTGTGACCCTAAGCCATAAACACCAACCAAACCACCCCAGAATTCCTGCCTCATAGAAACTGCGAGGGAATAAACATTTGTTTATATTTTAAGCTATTAAATTTCGGGGTATGTTGCCACAGCATATTTTCACACTTAAAAGTGAGTTTCTGGGATACAAAGAGTTCCTCAAAATGTGGGTGGACCTCGAGCATAAGCTGGG